CCTCATCGCCTCGAAAGGTGGAATAGGTGGTACTTGCATGCAGTTGGTCGCGTCCATAACTACGACTTTTCAACCTGGGAATAATTTTTTTACCCCAAAACCTAGTTGCAAATTGTGAAATGATCCTCTGAAGCAGAACAAACATTACTGTGGAAACTAGAGAGCCAAAGTTGGGACAGGAACTGCTGGGCACAGTTTCTCTGTAACAAGATGCGACGGTAAATTATGTTAGAAATTTTCATCACAAACGTTCTCTACAAGAGTGCATGCGGTGAAATTTCATGGAATAAGTTGGGAAAGCACTTGTAAAAGAATTTTCTAAGTAAGGTAATTTGGCTCTTTATATTCATGTATTTATTCTCCAAATCCAAATACTTAGAAAGAAGCGTTGCCAGCGGTATGAATTCCCTTCCATATGCCAAACATTCAGAGCCACCCTATCGAGAGAAAAGAATTCACAGCGAAGTGTGTACTAAATTCCCGTCCACCCTTGAACACTTCAGTATTTGAAACATTTCCGCACAACCCGTAGTGGTACCGGCGTAAAGTTCGGTGTTATACGTACGTCCACTGCGGAGTTACAATCAACTGGGCGCCGCTTTGGGTTACGGTACCGTGGCGGTAATACTGAATTTAGCTTCTTGTTTTCTGAACCCCAGACCAAATAAAAACGGAAAGGTCTGCTCCCCAGAGCCGTTTCTCGGAAGTAGCGAAAAAGAAAAAAATGCCCTAAACTGACCTAGCAGTGAAAAAAACGGCAAAAACGTCAAAAATGAGGCCTGGCCTGGTGCTTTTCACGAGGAGAGAGACACAGCCGCAATAGTAACGATGGCGAGAAAATTGGTCGCAATGTCATGCAGTATGCAGGTCTGTGAGCATCTATTCATGAAGCGGGCGGATTTCTGGCCATCGTAAGCTCCCGGCATTCTTATCACATTTTCTAGAGGCAAAAGAAACAGTATGTTCAGCAGCTGATCTATATTCTATATGCAGGGGACTCCACCCACGCGATGATCGCGGAATGTGCCTCAAAGGTAGGAAGGGAGATTGCAAGGAGACCTACATTTGAAACGTTACTTACCTCTCTGTTCGGTATAACCGTGCTCTGTTCACTGCTTTTTGAACCAATTCGACTGGCTAACGGTCTCGAATTCCAATACTTTACAGCGGCTTCTTGTGGAAGTTTACTCACTTTACCCTCTACCCGTACCTAAAAATTTTCCGTAGTAAAATTCGATTCGAAAATGCACACGCCTGATTTCATTGATTTGCGTGGGGCCAGGATTTTTCACGGACCAGGAAGGGTCAGATCAGATGTGGAAAAACCGCCCACTTTAGTTACCTCTAGCCCGTATTCCCAGTACTGGATAAGGACTTGCAGGAGGGATATGACGATAGAGTTACTCGGTCCACAACTACATATTTACGTTGTGCAGTCGTGTCTCAGAGCACAATCCACGCTGTTCATGTGGGCGAAGTCTTGCTATTGGCGCGCCCTATCTCTCTCGTTTTAGAACAGAGAGGCGTGCACCAACGACGAAGGTGCAGCCCTAGGCAAGGCCCCGCCCATAAGGTCAACACGGACTGTGCCTGAACCTGTATCTCATGGTCAGTAATGAAAAGATCCCTATTGTGTTAACATTACACCCCTCACAAAAACCCACTTCAATCCACTAAGTCCTCTAAATCCCAGAAAAAACAGGAATTTGGCCTCTTCCTCAGCTCATTACTGGGTTATCACTGTTTCGGTAATGAATCACCAATCACCTGCCTATCTACAACTGGCCAGTAGAACAGCATACAAGCGTATGGATTTTCCTGCAGTTCACGTCCTTTTCGGCTATTGTAGTTCGTGTAGAATGAGAAACCATCGGGACCGTAGGCTTTCAGCAGGACCACTCTTGACGTTGGTCTCATATCTCTTAATCCCTTCAATTACATCGTAGGGAGAAATTTAGCTTCGAGAAATTAAGAGGCAATTGTCCTAAACCCGGCGCTATAGAAAGGGAGCTGCATTTTCGGCTTGTCGGGACATCCACAATGCTGCGACAGCCAGTACTCTCACTGGTTGCTTTACACAATATAGTGGGGCGATCGCATGTTGAATGACCAACTCCTGGTGCGAATTACGCGCAAGTGACGCCACTTGCAAGGCCGCTTCGGCCGTCGCAACTTGGATCTCCAGAACAGTCCAAAAAGTACTCAGCTTCCAAATCTCCTACTACTCACTTGCCTACTGTCGAGAAACACACGGAATTACGTTCCTCATATGATGTCGGCTTTTGCGCTGCAACATTTTTGAACCTGAAAATTGTACAGTAGCTGTTGCAGATCGACTAGTTTATTTGTTTATTGTCACAACAAGATATGTAACAAGTTATAATAACACCAAATCTCACCACGTATCGAACAATCTAACGGATCCCGGTGCTTAATTTCGACTCGTTCCAATCAATTTGGGTTCGTCTTTATTGCAGATATTCGGACGCATGCTATAAAACAGGATCCAGTGGAAACAATCTTATTCGCTTATTTTTAGTCCATGACGTTGGTGCCGCCAAATTGTGTCAAATACTTCAACAGTTTTAACCGTCAGAGAAACGAATCAGAATGAAGTGTATACTTGGTATTTGGTAGGAAAAACTCAACAATTCGAACAAGGGGTATGCCTTTAGAAAGGTTGGTAAGCGCTTTGACGAGATTCTCAGGTCTTTCGTCACACGTCTCCCGCTGACCGACCGAAAGGCTATACCGAAGGTATCGACGGGCCTGTGTCCAACTTGCTCTGTAAGAGCGAAATCGACCACGGGAGGGTATGAAACGGAGAAAGTACTCTGACTACGGGGATTTCTTATGGCATTTTCTTGACAAAAATGCTACATGGTACGTAGGACATCCTTTCCATACCCCAGGGTACTGCCTACGGTGTACTAACAGTTCAAGTTCTCTTGAACAACCTTTTGCACATGGTGTAAGATGCCTGTAGATGAAATCATTCGGAGCATTTATGACTCTTTGCTCGGCTACTAGTACTGCTGGGTTGGGGGAAGGAGGGGATAGAGAGAGAAGAGAGAGAGAGAGAGAGAGAGAGAGACAGACAGAGAGAGAGAAAGAGAGATAGATAGAGAGAGAGAGAGAGAGAGAGAGAGAGACTGATGAATGGCAACGCTGGTTTGTTAGCAATTCATAGATCCATAAAGGACAAACGGACACATCCGTGTCTAGAAAATAAAGAATCGAGGAAAACGAATGCGTGGCATCCATGTCACGCCCTATTCGCTGCTAAGCTATGGAATCGTAATTCATACATGAGGATCCTTCGTGTCCGGCCGCTAACTGATGAGAATGGGTCATATACGGCCGTAGGGAGGGGTGTGGGAGGTGCATCACACCAGAGGAAGGGTATTACCGGCGTAAAAAACTGGATAGGGAGTCGTACTCACACCGCCGTTTCACAGATCCCATCAGTCGTTGTCCCCTGATACCAATTTGCCTGACAGGGTACAGGTCGTTGGTGAAGCACATAAGGAGGCCTTCTATTCGGTTGTTGGGAGGGGGGGGGGAGGGTTCGTATGTGCGTTTGAGTGAAGATTTGCGCGTTGCGATGAAACCATATAAAAATATTTATCGTGTTTTTACTTTGTCGCGTGATTTAGCCGTGTTTCATGATTGTACAAATCCCCTCCCCCCTCGCCCTCGACACCAAAATTTCGGAGAAAAGTAAGGAAAATTCTCGAGTAAATTCTGTGAAACCGGAGCACGCAGTTGCGAGGATTTAATTGTGAAAAAAATTTTCCTCCAATTGCTGATACCACCCCGCACTCTTCCCCGCTCGACGGGAAACTTTTGGTGTGAAAAACTGAAAAATGTGGGAAATTGGTAGGTAGGTGTTGCGGAAGGGCGGAAGGGGAGTGGTCATACCGAGACCATCTTTTAGGTGGGGGGAGGGGTCGTACGGACACTCTCTCTTGAAGGGGGGGGAGGAAGTCGTACTTGCACTACCATTTCACACATCACGATGCTTACCCTGTTGCCTGATCGGGACCACGGCCACCTGGCCAGGACCATCTTCAACCATTTAACACTGAATGTCCGACCACGAAAAATGCTCCTGGTAGCGGCATGGTGAACACAAGCCAGCAAATGCACAGGGTAAATGTAACTCAATTGGAAAGTTCTCAAACGAGACCAGTAACAGTTAATGTTTTCACAAGAATATTGTCAAAAAAAATCGAAAAGAAGAAGAAGGATAAATATGAGAAAAGATGAGAAGATGAGATAAAGCGAACTGAAGAATTGATTGTAAGAATGAATAATGACCAGAAAAAGAAAAAGTGGACATTAGAAACTCTAGAATAGAAGACTTACCATGGATTTCAAGCGGTGCGTCAGCCATTGCCAGTCGAATTGATTTCGAAAAACGAAGTATGCGAACGATCCCAAGCTGAACTGTCCAACGATCTTTACACACCGCAAAACAGAACGGAACGGAAATGAATGAATTCAGCAGGATGATGAACCTTTGTTTGTTGCCAACTCAGCTACATAACTACAACGCTGGGAAACTGCGGAGCGGACCGGTATTTTTTTTTTTTTACATATGAATCCAGCTCAACAGTTGCATTTTCCATTACTTATAATTTACAGCGCTGTGTCAGTGCGGTTACGACCCCTCCTCACAGACCAAGTACGCCCTCCCTGCCCTCCCCTGATGGGATTCTCCCAGCCATGCTGCGTCAGCAGCTTTCTGCCATGACGCGCTTGGTTGGTTGAAACTATCCACGGCTTTCTAAGCAATACTGTGTCATAAAAAACATAAAAATTCAACAAAAATATGTCTGTAAGGCTATCCTGGAGCACAATCTCGAAATTCATTAACAAGACAGTGAAGAATGGTTCTATCAAATATCTCAAGAGGAATTCTATTCTTCCGTGGTAAAAAGCCCCCTGGAACCGAGAATTATGCCTCTACCCAATGATAACGGTCATTACATTACAGACTGTTGATAGGGAATGACGTTACCGATCAGAGCATTTACTTCGGCTGTCGTCATAGGTGAAGACGGGTGTCAACAAGTGAAAACAAAAGTACAAAACAGCACTTTTCACCCTTTACTATAGTATCGCTCAAAGTATTGGCAGTAGTTTTTTGTCAATATTCGTCCGTGAAGCGAATGTGGTCAGTAAATGGACCTCCGGAGGCGGTTCAACCTCTTGAACATGAGCGTCACGTCTGTCTGGAACGTCTTAATCCACGGTGCTCAAATAAGGAAGCATGAGGTTCCCCCTGAGCTGGTAAAGCAATCGCTGAGCCCCTGTGCCCTACTCTTC